CCCTCCCACAATATACATAATTAATGTCCACAATGTTCTTACTCAATATTTCATTGACTCACTTATCAGATCTCCAAGCCCCCCTCCCTCCCACAATATACATAATTAATGTCCACAATGTTCTTACTCAATATTTCATTGACTCACTTATCAGATCTCCAAGCCCCCCTCCCACAATATACATAATTAATGTCCACAATGTTCTTACTCAATATTTCATTGACTCACTTATCAGATCTCCAAGCCCCCCTCCCTCCCACAATATACATAATTAATGTCCACAATGTTCTTACTCAATATTTCATTGACTCACTTATCAGATCTCCAAGCCCCCCTCCCACAATATACATAATTAATGTCCACAATGTTCTTACTCAATATTACATTCGCTCACGTGGAATTTCTAACAATAAAAAATAAAGAATTTTTGAACAGATTAAATAATCTGTTGTTTGACGTGGACGTTTTTTGTTATTTATTTTTATGAGGGACTACAGCAAATCGTATTTGAGCGTACTTGTGAACCAATTAGAGCTCGAATAATTGCGTAAGAGACAACGTCATCGTAGTACGTAACATATAATAATCTACGTCGACACTGCGCAAGAAACACGTTAAATTGTATCATACAATGCCTGCGACTTGTGTCATTAAATCAGAGGGTTCTAATAAACATCAATCTTGTCATATTATCTTGCTGTCAACCGTTTACTTTACAGCCTGCCAGTTAAATCAAATATGGAGGCGTGGTCTGCTATATATTTCTCGCGAAGATAAAATGTGAAAATTTCCTTAAACATAACACTGTTAACAGAAAGCGAAAACTCAAATCCGCTATAAAGATAGCAGACGTTACTATTACATAAACAAATCGATAATCATTAACAAACTGAAAAATAAGTAGCGCAGTAATATCGTGGCCACTTCACACACTCTCTACGGACATAATTTTTTCATCTAACATATATGTAATGTTTTATAAGTTTCAGCACTAGCTTGACGCAATACCTTAAATGTGATATGAATACCTAACAAATAAAATAAAATTTCTATCATGTTTCAAATTAGACTAAACTAGAAATACTGTTGTGTTTATATGTTTGCTATTTATATAGCCTCGGGATCAAACATTCTAGCCTAACTGCACCATTTAACTCAGTCTGTATATTTCCAACTTCGCTACAGTGCACATGCGAAGAGAGGATCAATTAATTTTTCTTTTCGATCTGCACGTGAGAAGTAATAAGTTCATTATAGTGAATCTTTCGATCTGCACGTGAATTAAATATCTCTAAAACTATTTAAAATAAATCAAATATTAACATATGCTACATTCAGTTGTTACAATTAACTGTACTTTTGAGCTATTACAATCAAATCAGTTTAAATTTATGATACAGAAAATTGATAACCTTACATGTATAATATTTGAACACTAGCTAAACATTTGTGGTCAAATTAGTATCTCTATCGCAACAATACTTGTTTAAATATAGGATTTCTAGAATAATACAGGCGATTTCTAATCGCAGACACTGAAATCTACAAGTACACTTGTGCTAGGCCTAACATATACTAAGCATTTAATATTCGATGCAGAGATAAATTAACACTGTAACTATGTACGTTTTTTT